ATGAAAGCATCTCTTAACCCAAGAAGAAATCTCTGTGGCACAATTTTCTATTGAGAGGTTGAAGATGACAGTCCAAGGGAAGTCATAGAGAAAACCCTCGAAGAATGACTCCCAATCAGCATGCAGGTAATGGAAAGAGTTCTTATGGATAGAGAGTTCCTGTTTAATAGATGCTTGGAAGAAGATATCAATAGTTACCACAAATTGGTTTGAGTTACCCAGAGGGAGGACACTATTGCAAAGCTCGGCAAGAGCAAGGAAAGGAGGTCCAATAGAGAAACATGTTGCTTGGTCTGCCTAGGGAAATGAATAGTCAACAATTTGAGTGATGGATTGGTCAATGGAAAACTTTAATGCCTTGTATACCAGCAACATCAGCACCTTTACAATATTTCAGCCACATGTCATGGTGAGCATTAAAGTTACTGAAGACAAAGATGTTTGTAGATGCATGAAGAGGAAGTGCCTTTTCTGTACTGTCAGCTATTGCATCTAATATACTGCAGTCTTCGGAAAAGGGGAGTGATAAAGGGAAAGAGATATCTAATAGAGTTGAGTAGTGAAAGATGGAAGCACATGAAAGAAGAGTCAGTGACCTCAAGAGACAATTCCCTGGCCATCAGAATATTATCCCCGATGTAAACTCCAAGGCCATGCATGTGAATGCTGGATTCTTTTGGAATTTGTGGCTTTTTAGTGACAGAATTTTCAACACTATAATTTGTAAAGCAACGTGAAGCTCCTTTGAAACAAGGTACTGTAATTTTTGACTTTTTGTCAATGGAATTTTCAACACTATACTTTGTAATGCAACATGAAACTCCTTTGATATCAGGATTTTAATGTGTGGCTTTTTGGCAACAGAATTTTCAAAACTATAATTTTGAATATTGCAATCTATCATACTTTGCAATTTGAAGCATTTTCCAATGCTATAATTTGTAATGTAAAGCATTTTTGATACCATGATTTGTAAATGTGATTTGGAAGAAAACACCCTTAGCAGCAGTTTTATTTAAAAACGTGTTGACAGTTCAATGCATTAAAGCTTGCTCCCTAATGAATCAAAATCTGCTTTCTTGCCATGCTTTTTATTCAAATTTTACTTCAATTCAATTCTACAATTCCTGCACTATCACTTGGAATCAGAATCACACTCAGAAAACCACTGTTTTTTTCATGCTTTAGAATCAGATACTCCTGCCATTGCAAACTTCACTGTGTGAGATGCAGACAAGGCCAATGATGATGCATGTATCAGCCAGAAGTTGAGGAATAAAACAAGGAAAATTTCAAGTTCATAGTAGCATCGGAAAATAGAAATTACACAATTGGCTTTTATTTTTTAGTTACTTCTTGTGAGACCAGTAAGCAAGCAATGTTTTACAGTATTTAAATCATTGCAATACAAAGAACTTTTTGTGCGAATCTGATAAATAAAACAATAAAAAAAATAAATTTATCCACACCTTCATCAGGCTGCTAAAAATACAACTGTTTCAAAATCTATTACAGGTTTCTTGCATCATTGTTTGTTTTGGTTAAGTAAGGTATCGCAACTGGTTTTGTGATATCCTTCTCCTTAACTGATTGCTCACTGTGGCTAGAGAGCCCAGTCTGCCCTGATATTTAACTCATAGCTGGGGAGAGAAGAGATGGATTCATACTTTTTCCAAGGTTACTTGCATGTAAGTTAATGTAAGGAACTCAAACGTGACTAATTTGCAAAAAATTGTGGGCTTATGACTACATTATATTGCAACATTTGTTCCTGTATGATCACTGGAGTTAAGCAATGTCAAGTCTGATCAATACCTAGATGGGTGTCTGCTCAGTAATACCACATGCTATATACTTTGTGAAGTTGGTCTAATGGGTAATGACTTGGAATTGTTAATTGGAGAGCCAAGTTCCATATCCTGTTGGGTTCATCATATATGCAAATACCTTTGGAAAAGGTATGAATCCATCTCTTATCCCCCCAGCTATGGGGTAATTAGTAAGACTTGTATCAAAAAAAAAAAAAAAAATTATTTTGACCTGGAAGAGGCTGATAAGCTATAAAAAATGAACCATTCAAAAAAAAAAATGGAATCAAATCAAACTGAAAGCTTAATTAGAATTAAATAGTGGGTAGGTCATCAATGTCTGAAGGCCATTGGTTGATGGTGATATCATTAAGACATAAAAAATTTTGGAACCATCAATCAAGCAACAAAAATGTCAAGGGAGATTCATGAAGTTGTACTTAGTTAGAGAGAGATAGATTAGGGTCTGATTAGCCTCATTTGGGTTAACCTGAGAAGGGAGTTTGATGTCGAATGACCTGAAATTCTCTATGATCCCAGCTATATAACATCATTGACCATACACCCCATACAGGAAATAAGAAAATAATATTTTGCACACTAATGTTACCTGATGCTTAGAAATTAAATTTTCAAATAAATTTTTCTATCTAAAATATCAGAAAACACATTATTTTTGTGTCTGGTGTACACAATTTCAAACATTTTTTTTTTTAACAAACCAGTTATTTTAAAAAGAAGTCATTTGGTTTTGAGGAATATAGTGAGATCTGAATAACTTTGAAGAAGCAAACCTTAAAATATGGTATCTTACAATGATGGAATCTATTCTTTGATTCTATTTGATCTGAACCAAAACTGGCATTCACTTGTGGAACTAAGTTCTCCCCAAAAACATTCTGACAGAAGAATGTCACATGAAAGGAAGCAGCATACACAACTGAGATTCACTTGTGGATCCACTGTCTTTCAAACTAAGAAAGATTAGAAACAATTCAATTCAGTCTCTCACTAAAATTTATCATAAAACAAGAAAACTCATTTTTCTATCTTTATTTTCATGTAAGTTATATTTCGTTTGGAAGATAAAAAAATATTAAGAAAAAAATTATCAGATATAAAGTTATTTTATCTTAGGTAAAATCAAAGCTTTCCAATGTACATTTAACTGTCAGAGAAATTTTTTCACTTGCAGTGTCAATGATAAAATCTTTGGTGTTGCAAAATTATCAAGCTCTGAGAGGACTTTGTACAGTTAACATAAATGAATCCCCCACTACTAGGTCACAATTGAATACTAATATTCTACTAATATAATATTTACCTTGAGCATTAATTTGCTGTGAATGTATCTGTAACCATCTGATTTTGTCTGCTGCTGATGATGAGGAGGATATTCCATTTAGCATTGTAACTCTTTAAAAGTCTGAGAGAACAGATGTAGATATATAGAGGAGGGGATCTGCTGAGTTAGATGTCTAACCTCCAATTTTAGGTCTCATATCAGTGACATATGTTTAATGTATACAAAAGTTTCTAGTAAAAAAAAATGCTTTTCAACCATGAATTAAGTTTTCTAGTTTTCAAAAGAGCATACCTGGAACTTTTTTCACAAACCTAATCCTTTGCTTAGACAATAAATCCCAGCTTCTTACAAAAGAGATTATCAGTATTTAGCAAATCTGGATTATCTGGTAGATATAAATGCAAATAACAAGAAACAAGTATTTGCAGATTTATTTCGCTGGTTGATTTTAGAAGACATGGTTTCCAGATTAAGTCTTTCAAAATTTGAAACTAGAATCCAAGAACGTTCTTCATTATTCATATTCTTATAGAATAAAAGAAATCAAGAGAACTGGTATCTTTGTAAATCCTCTCTCTGACTGGTGTATATGGCCTCCAGAGAATATTTAAACTCTGCCTTTTCCACAGGTGCTACTTGTACCTCATTCCAGGACTTCCAACCCATTGATTTCTTCTCCTTCACCATGTTGTTCTTGGGCTTCCCTTTCTTCTTTTTGCTTCAGGCTCCTCGGTCATTGACACATTACAATCTAAGTTGGGTGTTGCCATAAAATGTGTCCAATGAAGTTCTATGTTCTCCACTACAACTTGAAAGTAAGAAGTCTCATGTGAAGACAGTGGGACTGTCTTCTCATGGTCTTACTGTCTGATCTTGAAGATTGCTTTTAAGTTGTTATGAAATAGATCATAACAACCTATAGCCAAATTCAAATCATGTCAAAGAAAGTTCTCTTGACATGTTATAATGAATCTGGATTTTAAATATGCTCAGTCATGAAATGCTTATAATGCATGTAAGATTCTTGATAAAATGCAAAAAAGAATCTGCAATGTCATTGGTTCTGAATTAGCATCTTGACCATCTGCCATAATGTAGCTTCTCTCTGTCTTTTCTATAAAAAATTCATGGTAATTGTTCTGATGACCATTCCTCTATGGTACCGGGATTATGAATTTAAGTGCAGTACTAGATTGATAGCATCATTTTACAGTTGAAATGGCTGCTAGATGTAACCATACACTCAATGCTAATATTTTCTTCTTTCACACTTCTCACTTGTGAAACTCTCTTCTAGCTTGTTATTTCCCAGTCAAGTTTGATCTTCAAAAATTTAAGTGCAATGTGAATCAGTATTTTCTGACTTCTTAAATCTTGTTCTTTTATCATTCTCGTTCCTTAATAGTAGTTTTTTCCTAATAGCTTCTAACACCTATTAACCCCTTGCATCTTGGTGAAGGTATTGTCTTGCTTGGAGTGAAATGATTACAAAATAAATGTATAGAAATATATATATATATATATATATATATATGAGAGAGAGAGAGAGAGAGAGAGAGAGAGATAAATAATGGGATGCATAAAAACCAGTTGGATGTTTAAATATTTTTATTTCTTTGTTATTGTTTTGCCCCTCTCACATGAAGTTAAATACATTTATTATTTGGTTTCAGGGCCTTGTTAAGCTATCACATTTGATTTCTTCAAAGTTCCTCTCTCCTCTCATATATATATATATATATATATCTATATATATATATATATATATATATATATATATATATATACACCCACACACCAATAATTTGTCTACAATATTTTTTTTTCTGTTTATGTACCACTTGTATTTGCAATCTGTACTTTTATTAGTCAAATTTATAAGGCTTATGACCATATTACATTGAAACATTGGTTCTCATTTGATCACCAAAGTTAAGCAACTTTGAACCTGGTCAGTACCTAGATGAGTGACTGCTTGGGAATACCAAGTGCTGTAAGCATGCATGTGCAGGTGGTGTAATGAATAAAGCCTAGGAATGAGAAATTAGAGAGTTGATTTCAAATTCCAATCAGATTCGTTATACTCACTTACGTGCAAATACACTTGGTGGCAAAGGTATGACTCTACCTCTTTTCTTCCCAGCTATGGGTTAACTAGTAAGATTTTTATCACAAAAACATTATCTCCCCTAAAGTCTTACAATCCAAAGAAATGCTTTGGCTTTAAATAACCTGAAAAAGGTTGATAAGCTGTACAAATCAGTCAGTTTGAAATTGCTTACTCTGTTGTATTCTGAAAAGTTTATGTGCTTGGCAAGTGATAATTTGATTTTTATTCTTTTGGTTTAAGTTGAAATTATTTCATTGAAGCCACCTCATTATTAAATATAAAAGTAGACATTGAGGTAAACACCCAGTTTCATGCTTAAGTGCCTTGGCCTGACAACCGGCCTTAAGCATGAAACAGATTGTCAGCAGTTGATGTTAACCTTAATGTCCACTTTATATATATATATATATAAAATACTAAAAAGAAAAATAGTAAGCAAGACTAGAGTCAGGCCAATGCTTGGATACATTTTTTTAAAAGTGCTCAATACACAATTCAGAAAAATTGAATTTGTAGAGCTGATAATAAAATATAAGATTAGGAAAAATCCACGCCCAACGCACTACCTGGGTTTCGACCTTATGGTCTCATCAGGGCAGTTACTTGTGGATGGTTAATCTGTAACACTATTCATGCCCATTTAAAAAAAAATATCAAAGTGCCACAAATCAGAGATATCAGAAGGGGAGGAGCAAGGGTAGAATTAGAGAAACTGGAAACAAAAAAAAAAAACAATTTGTTCATCTGTGCTCGTACTGGCTCAGAGTATATTTATTGATATGTCTACATTATGACATTAGCTCAGATCATTGGTTTAACATGTTGGTCTTGCCTGGGTATGTCACTATGGCCAGATTCTTTTCCTGACAGATCCTACAAACATTATCAATACATCTGTAAGACTTAACTCTCCTTAATACATGCCATCTTATGCTGGGGCTTTTAGTGTAACTATAAATCCTCCTTCAAACTGGTGAGCCACAGTAGTTGCACTAAACTAGCAAAACATGTGTGGGAATTAAATAAAGAAATAGAATAATGAAACAAACAATTTGGGGTTATTTATTAAAAAAATGAGCAACTTGCATTATGAATTGGTATTTTCCCTGAGATGTATATATATATATATATATATATATATATATATATCTGTTAGGATTGAAAGGGTTAAAGTAGTTATTACATTCTGAGAATTGGCTCAAGTTTTCAATTTCCAAAATTATGCTTGATAGCCGTCTCGGTAATTAATAACAATTATTGTAGCAAATAAACTTCTAATAATTGTGGTTAAAATTAAAACTAAAATTGATTTACATTTTTGCAACAAAGATTTTGTATGCAGAAGTGTGTGTAAGTTGCTTTTCTGAAAATGTATCTTTTCATAGTAAGCAATTTTAATTACTGGAAATATTCCTAGAAATATATATCTGTCTGGTATGGAGGAAGACCTTACATTAAGAAAATATCATTAATCATAATTTACAGGAGAAAATGATGTACACAAGAAACTTGCATGAAGTTTTATTGAGTCTTTTGATATCTGCTTATCTTTTTGCTGGTGAAGCAATCACTTGGCATAGATTTGTGGAAACAAAGTGGCATTTCTAAGTTGAATGATTTTGACCTGTTGCAAAATCTCGTATTTATTTTTGTGACATACAAACTAGAATTTTTTTTTTTAATTTACTCAAACTAATACTGACTGGTTCAAAATTCCATTTTTATTTCTCATGGTATTTTTTGTTTTAGGTTTTATTTTTGGTGTCTTTTTTCCTGAAACCTGTCATTTCAATTTTTTTAAAAAATCACTATTAACCCAAACAAGACAGTACAGCCACTAGTATGAAAAGGGTTACAGGGTGTAGAGGAATTAGGAACAGTAACATTAGCAATGAAGAGAAAGATAAAAGAGCAATCAAGAAGACAGTAGATAGTGATTGATATTGCATTTAAATTTTTGTAGACTGAAGTTGGCTGAAGGACATGGAGACATGAAGAAGTTCCACAAGTAAGAAGTGTGGGATAAGAAACTGTTAGCATAGAAGTTACAGCTACATTGAGGTTTTTCAACTCTAAATTGATGAAATCTCACCACCAGTCTAGGATTGTGCTTAAATTAACGCAGTCTATGTACCATAGTGAAGAGTTGATCCGATGAATTAAAATGAAAGTTAAAAAAAAGTCACAAAGAGACAACCTTATGGCAGTGGGAAAGTTACTAAAGCTGAACCACCAGATCAGGACCAATAACATTGTGGATTCTTCTTTGGATTTTATCAAGAAAAATAGATAAATATAGATGCAAATAAATAGCAGAGACACTGGACTATATATGGCAGCAATATTCTAAGCATAGGTGAATGGTAGAATTATAGATATACAAAAATTTACAGAGAGAAAAGTTGTCTTGCCTGACACAATGAACTGAATTTTTTAGCAGCTGATCTGGCAATGCATTCAACATAGTCCTTCCATCTCATGTCAGTGAGAACATTAGTCTGAGAAGACGCAATGAGTCATTTTCTTGGAGGATAGCGTCAGTCATGCTTATGGAAGGCAGAGATGGGTCTCTCAGATGATTAATGGAGAGAAGTTTAGTTTTGGAGGCATTAAAATTGACAAACCATCTTTTGCTGCAGTTAACGACAATCTTGAGTTCGTTTTGTACATCAGCTGCCATTTTGACCTTGTCTGACTGATTAGCCTTATTATCGAGGTAAATGGTAGCATCATCAGCATAGATACCAAGTTAAGAGCTGATGTCATTGGAAAGGTCATTAATGAAGATTAAAAACACCGTAGGACCAAAGATGGATCCCTGGGAGACACACGCATAAGAACAAAAAGATTTAGCCAAGTGACTGTTCAGGACAACTTTCATTTCACAATTTGATAGGAACGACTGGATCAGCTCAAAAATGTGCCTGGATATAGTGTAACTTTTCCGCTTGTGGAGAAGACCTGAATGCCAGACCTTGTCAAAAGCTTTCAAGATGTCCAATGCCATAGCCCAAGCTTCTCCACTTTTATCTAGAGCCTAAAATATTCTTTCCACAGTTATTTTCAGTACATCAGCAGTTGATCTGGAGAAACGAAAGCAATATTGCTTGTCTGAGAAAAGCCTATTGATGAGAGATGATGAATCAATTCAACATTGATTAGACTATCTATGTGATGATCTTTTTGCATGCTTTTTTTTTAATGTGCTTCTCAAAACAATATATGGTTGCTACTTTATTAAATTTTGTATACGTACATTTTTAGTCATGTCCCACCAAGCAAGGCAATAATGCCACTGAGACACAAGAGGTTACTGAGTGTGAAAGAATACAAAAAAGAAAAAATTACTAAGGCGCATGAACAATAAAAGAGGAATCAAAAAGACAGAAGATAAAAATTGACATTGCATTTAAATTTTTGAAAACCAAAGTTTGCTAAAAAGCAAGATGCTGGAAGAGAGTTCCACAAGCAAGAAGTGCGAGAAAAGAAACTGTTAGCAAAGAACTTACAGTTACAACTGCAAAATGAGACCTTGTTGAAAATCAATACTGTGCATAAATTCATAAAGTTTAAGTACCATAGAGCAAAAGTCATCAAAAAAGAAAAATTGCCATGAAAGTGTTTATAGAAAAGGCACAGGGAAGCTACATTCTGGCAGTGGGAAAGTGACGGAAGTTAGGATGTCGGGTCATGACTAATAGCATTGCAGATTCTTTAGATTTTCTTAAGAATCTCTAAATATATAGCAGCAGCAGCACCACCAGACTATATGTGACAGCAATATCCAAATTATGGATGAATGGTAGACTTGTAGATATGTAAGATAGGTTCAGGTGAGAAAAATTGTCTAGCATAACACAGTGAAATAACTTTCCTAGCAGCAGGTTTAGCAATTAAAGTTAACTATTTCATGTTTTTCTTATGGTGGTGCTCAGCCTCTACAAGGCCCAAAGGTAGAAGGCTACATAGTAAGAGGCAGATCTCATGTGGATATGTAAGGGAAGGTAATAGTTAATCATGGACTTGATTGTCATGATCAGTGAAGTAACATCTTGAGAGCTGCTTCCACAAGGTAGTGGCTTATGGGAAGAAGTGGGGTGGAAATTATATCTCACCAATAGACTATGAATGGAATGAGGGGGTGGCTTGTAACAATGTGCTTGTCAAGGTGGGTCTAAGCTGTGAAGGTTAGAATTGGTGGAATTAAGACATGTAGTTTATTTGAAAACTCTCCACAGAAACACCAAGTGGCTTGTGACACTTTGAGGAAGAGGTTATAGTGTGGAAAATTGATAAAATGACAGAAATATAATATAAATATCCACGGTGTCCATAGCGTCTTTTTACAATTTAAAAAATTTATTACAAAAGAAATGAACAGACAAATATGTGGAAATTGTTACAAAATGATGAGTAGATATTGAAGTTTTTAAAATTAATTTAACATACCTCTATATTGACACCATTAGTTGCACAAAGCACATCAAGATGGTACTCGATTTCTTACCATGTTCACAGTAGCATAGCCTCATCAATGGTGGCAATGACATCAGTAATCTTTTGCTTTACATCAGTGATCTCTTATATCTTTGTTCGATACACAATATCTTGAACATAACCCCACAGAAAGAAGTCCAGGGTAGGGATGTTTAGTGAACGAAATGGACAGGGAATTGTGCCAACCCTTCCAATCCACTGGTTTAGGAATTTTCATTTAATAGTACCTCATCAACAGGATACCCTAAATACACAAATTCAATGTGATTAAAATCTTTGATAACTACTGAATACGTAGTACAAATCTGATTAAGATATCTCATCAAAGCCTTTGTAATATATTTTTAAAATAGTAAAGAGAATTTATGAACACCCCATATATTAATAATTC